GCACAGGAAGACTAAAACTCCATTTCTTGAGAAAACACACACACACACACACACACACACACACACACACACACACTATATAGGTATAATAAAGGAATCTTGCAAATCTGATTGTGCTGTGAAATGAAAATTTATATCAACAAAGATCCCAGAAAGTAGGATGTGTAAATGCTTCTGGACCTGGTCAAGACCTTGTGTGCTTTATTTATTTAATTGCAGTTTTTATTCTTGGTTAAATATCTAATGAATATACCACTCTTCCATTATGTGGTTGTGTAGTATACAAGGTACAACTTTTTATAGCAAGGAAAGCCATTACCCCCATGTTATTTTGTTGCTATGGACAAGCAGGCCGTTGGCCTAATCTTCCCTCCTTTGAGGGGATTTGTTTTGGTGCGGGTGGGGAGAAAACTTGAAGGAGGCCACAGGTAGGGGTAGAAACAGTGTATGAGTCAGCAATGTCTTTGATTAATGTTGGATGAGTTGATGATTGAAGATGGGGCTACTTGAGTATTTGCATAGTATGTGAATAATCTTAAATTAAAATCATCGCTATACCCCATTTTCTTAAGAGAGAAGTTATATGCTAGTGATCTTGAGTATGTGCGTGTAGTGATATTGGCTATACCTGTCACTGTTTTGTGATCTTGAACATTTCTCTAAGGAAATGTGACAGTTGGTAGACAAATGTTTTCCCACTCCTGCTCTAGGCATTGATCTAAAGGGTAGGAATGTAATAGATATGATCTTACACATTATATAAACACCCTTGCAATTTTTGCATATTTTTTCACTTGCTGCATATCATCTAGTTGCAGTGGGTTTGTTTATTTTTTCAAATTTGTATATTGCTGTAATCTGCAAAGACTTTCAGTTGTTAATAGTAGCAACCAGCATACATCAAAATGTCCTGGAATGCTAATTAAATTAACAAAATTAAAAGATTAATACAATTTAAAAACATAGGAACAGTAACATCCTAATAATACAGAGGTAGCATTCTCCTGCTCTCCAAATGTTCTCTGGAGGAGCCCTATTTGCTATAACTTGCAGAAAACAATCAGAGAGGGGGCTAAATACATAACAAGCCACCTTCTCTAACCTACCCCAAGCAACTACACCCAATGGTCAGCTATCTGGCAAACCCACTCAAACTGGCTTAACAACCACCTACCAATACTTCTGCACACTTCTTATTCAGCCCAAAGCGCCCTGAAAAACGGGGTTCTCATGGCAGCCCACCACTCTCCCATTAATGCCCAAAGGCTGAAGGGCTCACCGTCCATCTGTTTTTTCAGTCTAGGTAGGGGTATACTCCAGCTATCATATTCCCACCTGGGGAGGCCAGCCATATCTAGCAGTTTAGCTGGCACCCACTGGATAACAAATCTCCACTGGGCCAATATTATAGATGACCTACAGTTGGAGCCCCTTAAATTGTTGAGGCTGCCTGGTCTAACCTGTTGCACCAGGACCTTCAAGCACCAGGCCTCTGCAACCACCTTTAGTCCAGTACTGGGATCCTGGCCTGAAAATACAGCTTTTTCCCCCCCAAAATCCCCTAGGCAATACGGAACAGCAGGTATTGGCATACTTCCCAGGCAAAGAAGCTGCTGGGAGCATCTGCCCTGGCTCCCCCTTCATCCTCCATCAGGCCCTGGAATATGCTTCTGCCAACAAAATCACTCTGCCAGATCTCCTTTCACTTTCATCCAGATGGTGCCATCACAATCCTGGTAAAATCATCCTTTCATTCTGCCAATAATCACCTACCAGGCTGAGAGGATTTATTGAATTGTTTGTTTATTTAATGGCAAGCCTTATAAGCCATCCTAATTGAAGCCCATTTTGAGTGGTGTACCATTCCCCATTTTTGCAAATTCAGATTAAAAACAAAATTAAACATAACAATATACAGGTAGTCCTTGCTTAACAACCGAAATTGGGACCGGCAACTCTGTCGCTAAGTGATGCGGTTGTTAAGCAAGACATCACATGACTGCAGTGGACTTACAACCTCACTTTCACCCCAGCTGATAAGCAAATCACCCATGGTGGTTAAGTGAGACATCACATGACTGTGACTTGTAATTTTATTACCAGCTTCTCCATTGATTCTGCTCGCTGGAAGCTGGCTGTGAAGTGCACAAATGGTGATCACATGACTGCGGAGACACTTTGCCGGTCATAAGTGTGAGGAATGGTAGGCCAAATTGGGGATCACTGCCAATTTGGTAAAAAGTGTTCATGTGAGCATCAAATCCTGCTCAGGTCTCCAGCTTAGGCCACCTTCCTGCTCTATTCCCAGCTAGCTATAGCGATTGAACATGTCAAGTACTACAAGGCTGGCAAGCTGAGGAAACAGGAACCACTTTCTGGAAAGATCTTTATTGTGAGTAGCGTAATGTAACAGAGTCTTGAAAACCTACAAAACGAATCCTTCTGCTCAACTTTTATCTTCTGTATTTAAAGCAGAGTTACACTGAGCCCCTTTCTTGTGCTTCCCCCCTCCCCTGGGCTCAATAATTTCTTTTGTAACAGTTTGTTTCTTCTCTTAATTATCTTGCTACCCCCTCTGTGCTCCTAAGATCTGCCAACAGTGGACTTGGGCTGTCTAAGAGCCTCCTCAGTTATGACTCTGCCAAATAATATAACTTGCATAATCACCACAGAGACGACTTTGACACCTCCACCTCATCCAAGTAACAATTCAACTAGGAACCAGGCTTCTCCAAGAGCCAGTGAATCTCCAAAGGGTGACTGTTTGCTGGTCAGATATTTTATTTCTTTTCCTTAACTCCTTCAGTCTTCACTCTGCACTCCTCCATCCCGCAGCACATATGAAGCTCCTGAAATCCTACCACTAAATCCTTACACTTACCAACTCCTCAGCTGAATATCCACTATTATGCCATCCACAATAACATCTCCAAACTCCCACCCAAAACTCACTTTAAGAAAGCAACCCTCTGCCAGATGCCATCCTACAGAAAAACTCCCAGAGCCTAAACAGCTTCCTTAAAATGCCTTGTGGTTAAATGGAGATTTATTTGGCAGATGCATGTTTATTATCTAAGAAATTGCATAAAGCCTAACAATTGTTTATTAAAAGCAACATTACATTTATTTACTTAAAGGCAGGTAAACTAAAAATTCTTCATTATTGATTTATATGATAGTAAAATGGGAATCTTCTTTCCACAGCTTTAACTGCATATACCTATCTAACAATCTTTGATCTTTTCAGGTATGTTTCCTTTTTAAATTCCTGAGTTAATTTTGTAACACTTATGAAAAAATTATCCTTTTATCCAAATCCATGGGTTATGGCAAATAGCTTTTAATATTCCCTAATAAATCCTGTTTCTGTTTGTAGGTGGGATGCAGTCCCATTTATATCTACTCAGAATTAAATCCTATGGAATTAAGTGGAGATGATTGCCAGATATATGATATAGGATTGCAGCCTAAATGTCTTTTCATGTCATAAGAGATAAGTTCATAAAAATGGTTCACATTGTTTCATGCCGTGCCCAATTCAAAAATAGTTTTGTCAAATCTGCAATCAAATGACATTTAAGCATGCTTAAGTCCCATTATGACACCAGTACTTATTTTCTTGCATTACATTCTAAAAGTACCATTACATTTCACACCTGATAAGAGATTTATCTTAGATCTTTCCCATTTTATTCACTGCTAAACAATAGTGGTGTCAATATTGCTGATGTCAAAAGGACAGGAGATTATCTTACTTTCAGCCAAGTTTAGCTAGTATTAATAGGAACCCTGCAAGTTGGGATGTTAATGAATATCATTGTTATGTCTTTAATCCCACTGTTGTTTTCTCTGAAACTTGGTGGTAAAAGTATTTGCTTCTTACATAAACGACAAGCATTTAAAAATCCCTGTCAGCCCCTCAAGATAGGCCAGGTCAGGAAGTCCACTGGTTCCAGACACCTCTGGAACTCTACTGTATTAGTAAGGTATAACAACAGAATCTTGTATACCAAATAGATTTCTCTTTGCTTTGTCTTATACCAAAGAAAATCAGGGTGGGGTGATCTTGAGTTTCTTTTTCACCCCCTCCTCTTTCTCAGGGCTGAGTTGGTGTTTACATAACTGCTCTTGCATTCCTTTTTCAAAATTAACTCCATACTCCCCTACATTGAGATTGCAGTACTCTTATAAAAAAGTAAGTCTATTAACACAATGGAATTTAATTCTGACTAAATGTGTATAGGGTAGTACCACTGCATTGATTTAATGAGACTGTTGGACAGAAAATCTACCACAACCTGAAAGAAAACACTTGATTTGAGCACTTTAGATACAAGAGACAATTTTTTATTTGGGCACCATTTGAGTTTAATGTACCAAGTCCATTGTTTCTGAAATAATCTGATCAGTTTTCATCAATTTGCATCATTTATGTCAATATACATCATTTACATAATGACATAATTACATACATTAATGTAAATGAATAAATTTGGATTTAACAAACATTCAGATTTAACATACAGACCTCCCCTTCAGTAGTCTGTTAAACTGAGGGTTTATTTTGTTACTGGCAATTAATATGTTAAATGACAATCAAATTTTGAATTATTTTTATAAGTTTTATAAAAAAAATTATAAATTTTTAAAATAATTTTTAATAGCTAGATTTCTCTTATTTTAATTTTCATTCCTTTTTTTTATTTAGCTTAATAACATGTTTAATAAGTTATTGGGTAATGATGAAGAAGCCCAGTCCATCGTATTCATTTGGGTAAGTTGGATAATTAATATTTGGTGTCTTTTGAAAATATTCTCTTAGTGTGAAATAAACATGTTGTTAATTTATTAGATCAGTGTTTGTTTATGAAGAGATACCATTTTAATTGAGTTCCACTAAATTTAAGAAAATTGTAATGTGCACATAAAAAGGGCATTATACGTAATGTTTAATTCTATATTGATTTGTGCCCAAGAAATTAGAGGATGCTCAATTTGAGATATGCATACTACATTCATTTGATCAAGTACGGTACTACTAGCCCAGAAATTGCCAGCCTGTGGTTGACAGATCAGATCAGGCTCTATGCTGTTTTATGTAGCCTCTGGGAACCTTACATAGTTTTACTCTGTTGATGGAAATAAGTCACACAAGGTGAAAAGTGAATTCTTAAATTGCAAGAATGGAGAAATGCTTTCATTTTACATCTCTCACTTAAAGCTGTGTACAGTGTATTCTGTATCTTTGAAATCTTTGGTGCCTTAGGGGTTCAAACTGCATAGCTAAATAAACCTCCAATATGTACACCTCTGTTTCAATTAGCAATGGTAATAAAGAAGGAATGTAGGCTATCTCCTTCTTTTAGAGCCATTTTCTTTTATCAGTCATACAAAATTTTATAACCTGCCTTAGTCATACAGATATATTATCCAAGCCAGCTTATATGAATTAAATTTACAATATGAAATATAACAAAAATAACAATAATATAAATATCAAAGTGCAGCAAACAAAAGAATTATGTCCATATCTGTTGCTGAGATAATTATGTGGACATCTTTGCGAAATCCTCAAGACATGAGCTCAACCTAAGAAAGACTTTGCCCCTTTTTCAGCCTTGGCAAATTCATTATGAACAGACAGTAAAGAAGACGTAGTTATATAGAAGTTGTCCATAGTAAATGAAATACTTCCCAAGTTGTCTGTCCTTCACCTAATGTACCATAACATTTAAAATATTTTTAATAAAAACAAAATAACAGCAAATAAGTAAATAACACGTTAATTTTCTAAACATGCTTACTTGTTTAGAAAATTAATGCATTATACTTTCTGATTAATATTCTTTTTGTCTGTACTGATTTTGAAATGTTTAATCTCCTGAACTGCAGATTTGAGAGATTTGAAGTCCTAGCAGTATTTGCTTCCACGGTTCTTGCACAGCTTGGAGCACTTTTTATACTTAAAGAAAGGTAGGAATACCCCCTGCTTGTGCTTTTAATGATACATAACTGTTTAATCACTGTGGAAGGTAACAGTTTTTCCAATGCTAGAACACTTTTTTAAAAAACAGCAATTCCAAGGGATAGTTTGATGTTTTATCTATAGGGAACCTCATAGACTTGCTGGTGCATGCAGGATTATATATCTGACTAACAGATTTCTAAATAGAAGTAACATGTTGATTGTAAAAATATCATTCTTGTGTCTTTCAGTGCTGAACGATTTCTTGAACAACCAGAGATTCATACGTAAGCATTTTTAATTAAAAAACAGTAAATAAATATTACAAGTATATAAAGTGGCATAATTAATATAGCAATTAGTACATTATATTATGCTTTAAAGCGCAAAACTGAAAATGATATGCTGTCATGACTTTGAGGACAAGGGCAAAAATCCACTTGAGTTCAATGAACTGGGATAGTTATTTAATACAAATGGATTTTATGTATAGGTAACTTTAAATCATACACATAATGAATTGGGCAGAAGTCTTTTTAAAAGGTTATGTGTTCACTACAGAGGATTTAAAATTCTGATATGTATTAAATAGTAAAGGCTTAAATGTAATATACATGTAGCCCTTGTTATCTGCAATTTCATTATTTGTAGTTTTGGGTGTCCATGGCTGTTACATAGAAATGTAAACTTTTTATGTGTCCATGATTTTAGATTTGTCTGGAGGTTGTGAGATTTGGATGGGAGAAAACTGGCTAAATTTGAATCCTAGCAAGACAGAGTTTCTGTGTGTCCATCAGGGTGCTCTGGAAGCTCCAGCAGTATCTCTTGTTATGGAACCATTTCCCCTGAAGGAGCTAGTTCACAAATTGAGGTTCCTTCTGCATTCACAGCTCCTGCTTAAGCAGCAGGTGGAAGCCATGGCCAACAGAACATTTGTCCAGCTTTGGCTAATGTGCCAGTAGCAGCTCTACCTGGGACAAGAGGAACTTGCTACAGTGATTCATGCCTTTGTTACTGTTTACTTAGATTACTTCAACACTGCATGGGGCTGCCTTTGAAGACTACTTGGAAGCTTCAGTTGGCCAAAAATGCAGTGGCCTGTACACTATCTGGCACTTGCCAGTGGGAGTGCATTACACCTATGGACCCTGCATTGCCTTCCTATAAGCTTCCTGTTGCAATTTAAAGTGTTAGTGTTAACATATAAAGGCCTTTGACTTGGCACTAAGCTACCTTCTAGTTCACCCACTAGAACTGGCTTGACCTTTTCAGTCTTTAGAACATCATCAGCTAGTGTTTCCCCACTTTCAGTAGGGGCAGAAGGCTGAGATGCTGCTTTTCCGTAGAAGTGCCATCCACTCTAGAATGGCCTCCCACTGCAACGTGGGCTGGCTCCAACTTTGTCTGCCACCCGGAAACAGTTGAAAAATTATCTCTTCTGGAGGACTACTGAGACTTGAGGCCTAGTTTTTGAGTTCTATAGTTTTTGTATGTTTCAGGGTTTTTATGATTGCAACTGGACTGTGGATGTTTTAATGACTCATGCAGTCCTGTAAAACCTCTGAGAGTCCTGTACTGTGGGGTAGAAATGTAATAAATATTTAGTTTGTTTCTCTCTCAGCTAAGAAGTTCCCTATTTGAATAAGTATTGAATATAATTAAATTGAATCCAGTTAAAACTAAAAAAATACTGTGATTAACAGAGCCTAATAGCAGTGAAGAATAACTAATATAACTATTCTTTGTATCTGATGACATGTTATATTGATAAAGATTTTTTTTTTTTAGGGGTCGATTGCTGGTTGGTACCTTCGTAGCACTCACTTTCAACTTGTTCACCATGCTTTCAGTTAAGAATAAGCCTTTTGCTTATGTGTCTGAAGGTATATAATGAAACATTTGAAACAAAAAACTAAATGTTTTTAGCTTAGAAAAAGCTTTAAAAAATAACAATGATATTATATTAATTAGTAGCCAGTCATTATTGGTTGTTGCCACCAAGCCCACCACTTCCATCCCCTAAATCTTTTGATAATACATAGAAGGACTAGGAAGGAAGTAGGGGTAGAGCAGAGGCTTCCTCATTTTCAATATTTTAGAAAATGTGAAAAACAGTGGCGGTATCTCCTATTTGGAAACAGTTTCTTCTGTTATGTTCCCAAACTGCACTGCAGGTGAGAACTCCCTTGCTGGGGATCTCTGCACTGCTGGATTTTTTCTTTCTATGAGGGCCATAGACTTGGCCTTGCAGGTGGATTTTGGAAACTGTCTAATCTAGATGATCATTCGTGTAAGAAACATGGTTGTGTTTATGCTGAACGATGCAAATGATTTTGTATTTCTTCATCTGCATATCTGTAATGTTAAAGATATGCAAGATATGGACAGACCTGCAAGCCCTGTACCCAGATGCATTGCTGATTCTAAGGGACAGAAAGTGCAACATAAGAAAGTAATTTGGGCTCATTGGCCAAATCAGTTTAATCTCATTTCAAATCTTAATGCAACGTGTGCAAAAACGTTTAAAACAAAGATTTATGCAGAGAGACTCTTAGGAGTCTCATGTACCCACTCATGTCCCACCCCAAATTCTTTCTGACCAATGTGTGCTCATTGAAATACTTCAGGGTCTTACATTTAATTGTAATTTAACTCTAATGTGTGATTTGGGTGGCAGCTTGGTCTTGCTATAACACCTGCAAATAATCCTTGACTTGCAAGTTAGTTTTCTGATAATCTTATTCAGCTGGTCTTGTGATTCTGGTTAATAGTACTTTAAAAATATAATAACCATGCTGGCATTATAACTGAATAAAGCCCTTCCCCTTCCACAATTTGACCAGAACATAGAATTGTGCTTTCAATTAGTAGAATAGTATATTGTTTATTTTCATTTAAATTTACTTTTAGGCTGATTTTAAAGGTAGGTTTTCCTCTGACAATATACATTGCAGTAAAGCAATAATAATAAAGAAAAAGAATTCCATTTACCCAGCATTCCTGAAATACATTTGAAAAAAAAAAAATGAAAACAAGTGTGATGTAAGAGGGGTTTTTTTTGTTTTTTTGGTGTGGGGGTAATTTGTTAGTGATGTAAAATTTTCAGATAGATAAAATACTAGCTGAACTTGGCCTACAGTTGAACCTGATACAGATGTGAGCAAGGTTACATTATACTTATGATACCTTGAGTGTTCTGTTAATGATCAATTACACTTCTCTCTACAGCTGCAAGTACAAGCTGGCTTCAGGAACATGTTGCAGATCTCAGTAGGAGGTGAGTAAAAAAGACATTCTAAATCAGAGTGAGCAACCTTTTTGGGGCTGATGAACATATTTGGAATTTTGAGACTGTGTTATGGGTGCTCTCACAAATAGTTGTAGGCAGGAGAGACTTTTTTTATTAACAAAATGACTCCCATATTAATACACCCATTAAGTAGAAGACTGACTGGTAAAGTAGTTCCTTGTTGTGGCTCAAAAGTGGTAAACCTGAAGCTTTAGGACAGTATTTTTCAAACTTGGCAACTTTAAGTTGTATGGACTTCAATTTCCAGAATTCCCCAGCCAGCATGTTGCCAAGTTTGAAAAACAATGCTCTAGGACTTTATGTAGCCCCAGACTTCTTTTTTCTGCCTCTTATGGTGTAAAGCAAAGTTAAAATAACAACTGCTTTCTCACGGGCCAAGAAAAAGACAAAATCCTGGTTCAATCCACATGCACAACAAGGTCCATTTTCTCCCAGTATTGCAGCCTTTGCTTACTCTCCCTCCAAATTCAAAGTGTGGTACCTAGGTTACCCATACCTCTTTTATCTGCTAGATACTTTCTCCCACTATCAGCTTACCTTACCATAGTCTTTCTTTTTGCAGATGAGTTTGGTTTTAGAGAAAGTCCTGAGTTGAAGCCACTCACTATTTTTATTTTCTAAGAATGCTTATACAGTATGTCCTCTAAACCCATTGTGTTGCGTCTATGATGCTAGAGGCTGGTATTTACCTTGAAGCATACCAGCTGGTCCATTACCTAAAAAATATATATATATTTGAAAAAGGAGTTGTTAAGTAGAAATAGTATTCAGAAAACAAGGGTAAAATATCTCTATCTAACTCTTCATTTGCATCATGTGCGCTTCATGTTAATTTAGAAGCCTAATATGCTCACATAGCCAATTATTCTAGATTTCAGCTTGATCTTTGAAGGAGTGGGTTCCTGGGACATGTTTTAAAGCAATAATAAATTTCAAATGCTCAGGAAAAAGCAAATGCAATTTTATTAAAACGGTTCCTTCTTATGCTAAATCCCTCTAGTTTATTTTAAAACATCTCTCCCTGAAAATAGCTGGATAGTTTCTGTTTCTTAGCAACTTTGTGCTGTGATGTAGACAAAGACAATGAGACAAGCAGACCAAGTCTTGGGTGTGGGACGTTGTGCCATTCTTTTGATTTTCTGCCATTGCCAAATACATATTGTTTGGGAGTTGCTGTGGAAATTTGATCTATTGAAATGGCATCTTCCTGTCTTTCTTGTTCATAATCACTTTCTCACAGAAGGGTGTTGGTTTTTATTTTTTAAAATAGGTTTATTTTTCCTTTTGGGGAATGGCCAGATAATTTCTGTTTAATATGAAGAAGGTTGACAAATCGTCATAATCAAAGTCACAGTCATAGTCACAAGAATATGAAAATAATTGTGTTTGCATTAGGTCAAAATTTCTCCTTTTCTTGGGGAGGTGGCATGCTCCTTCCCACCCATTTATGAGTTAATATGAAAGTCTTAAATGGTAAAATCAAATAGAACTGAATTTCCTTACAGTCGTGTTCCTGTTATCTGATAATCTAACATTGGGTGCAAATAACCATCTTAATAAGCGTTTCTTGAAAAAACTCGTGAAGAATTTTTTTTCTCCTAGGACAGTTTTCTCACAATCCAACATACTCATAAAATCTGTTAAAATACATTGGGTCATCAACTTGCTGCAAAAACAGAAACTGCTATGAAAACACTTTTAAAAAGGCACTCTGAAGCAGATTTGTTTTTAATATTTTCTGAAAGCCTGCATTGCAGGATTCATGGCTAGGGTTCTTCAAACCAGCCCATTTCCCCAGCCAAGGAAGCCTTACTCCTAATCCTACCCATCTAATTTATCTAAGGGGATACACAGACAAACATGTAGAATACCTAAAGCTCTTTTTAATGTTCAGACAGGATTGTATGGGTGAAGATTGTCTTTTAGATGGCTTAACCTAAATTGGGCACTAATTCAACAATTAATACAAACCTTAATTGCAGTTGGTAAAATACTAATAGCAATAGACCTTGTGTAAAATTGGAGTTATGTGCTCTAAATTTCTGATCCCTTCCAACATTTTGATAGAAATCAAATGCATCCCTCTCCTTCCACAGAAGAAACTGCCATAACCAATTCTGGCCTATCTCAAAAGAGCTAAGCAGGATCAGATTGTTTAGTATTTGGATACTAACTATGTACTAAGTACAAAAAGAACATCCTGGAATAAGGCAATGGAAGAATACTTTTTTTGCCAGGAAAAATACATGGACGTATACATGTAGTCATGAGGAGTTAAATTTGAATTAAAGGTGATTATATGGATTCACGCTGTTTTTTGACTTAGCTTTATATTGTATTCTCTGCCAACAATGTCCTAGAATCTCAGACCAAGATCTCCTTTATTTGTTTCTTGTGTCACAGTTATCACGTTGGTATCTCTCCATCTTCAGAGAGCTACTGTACTGCCATACAGATAAGAGTGTGCTACCTTTCAGCTTCCTCTTTATTCACTAATTGATATTATTTATTGTTACTTTTAGCTTGTGCGGTATCATTCCTGGACTGAGCAGCATCTTTCTTCCACGCATGAATCCATTCATCTTGATTGATCTTGCTGGGGCTTTAGCTCTTTGTATTACATACATGTTAATTGAAATTAAGTAAGTACTTTTGGATGGAATGATAATATTAATAGGCATTGGATACTTAAGACAGGAAGGCCCTATAATGTTATACTTTTCTCTTTTCAGTAATTATTTTGCAGTTGATACTGCCTCTGCAGTAGCTATTGCCTTGATGACATTTGGTACCATGTATCCCATGAGTGTCTACAGTGGAAAGGTATTGCTTCAGGTGAGGCAAAGAGTTAAGACCTTTGTACTAGCAGTTAGAGAATGGCAATCAATCAATCAGTCATTGCTTACTGAGGTCAGCAAAACAACCACAATAATTCATTCTGTGAAGTGTTTAAACATTATTCTTTAATGGCAGATATGGCATCGAAGAACTTGCCTTATGAACCCTTTCTTGACAATTTGTTGTTTAAAAATAGAGGTTAAGAGCTGCTTTGCACATTCTTCCAATGACCTCTAAATAGCTTTCTTTCTACAACAACTTCTAATTTTACATCTAGTTCTATCTATCAGTTTATTAGCATACCTTCAGGACTTGGTAGATCATAGCAATATGCATAAAGCTTTGTGGCAGTCTTTCTCCAGTAGCTGTTAGTGTGGAAATTAGTTAATTAAATTAACTGGAAACTTAATTTATATATCCTTTGTAAGAAGGGAAGGGAAATTTTTCCTAGTAAGAGAGGTTAGGGTTAGAAGTTGATAGGAGAAAAAGAAAGGTAGCAGACAAGGACAGGTCTCTTAAAAAGAGAGGGTGATTCATCTGCCCCTTGAGGAAACAGACAGTAAGGTTAGTTATTTTAGAACGGAGTAGAATGGAGTCTGTGATTACTTAGGCCACTGTGCTTATTTGTATTATAGGTTGTATGTGTACAGTTTGTTCTCTGTCTATTCTCAGTAGATAGAGTAGCGTGGATTAATATCAACATCTTATACAGTATGTAATTAGAATGATAGTTCTGTACCCAGACCGATCTGCTTATTGAGGGCTAGTCCCTTAATAACATCACCCCCTTAGTCTTGCTATCAGATTGTCCTGCAGTAACAAAATACTTGACAATTGGAAAGCAAAAGGATTGTCCAGACTCAAAAACTGGGGGAAGGCTAACCTCCAACTAAACAGATAATGGCAGCTGTTCCTGGAGCAGGAAACTGCTGCTGTATCAGGGTACTCTTTGAAACTGTTGGGTGGCACCTGGCATGAGAAAAGACCTAGATTTGTCAGGGAGCTAAGAAAAGAGGTGGACTGTGAGATGAATGGATAGGATTTACTCCACTGCAGATGCCAATAAGAAAAATGGCAAAATCTCTAGGCAAATTCATAGTCAAATAGATAGATGGCACACAGTGTTGTTAGATTAAAAAAAAAAATAGTATGACAACTTTGAGTTACAAAAGAACAAATCGTCAAAGACTAAGACTGTGTGGTTTGGTATGTCTGTATTCAAACTCAGAAAGGATGCTTTTTGTACTGTAAGCTGCCACCCACTCAGCATGTCTTTTAGAAAATCATACTTGAATAATGTGTCTTTATTTTCACACACATTCACGTAATATAGAACAACCAGTCAGACTGATTCCCTGATGTCGATTGCTCATACTTTAATAGTAGCAAAATAATGAATCTTTTGTATTGTGGCTGAATAAATTATATTATGAAAATGTAAATATTTTGTTTTTTAGACTACACCACCTCATGTGATTGGACAGCTAGATAAACTTATCCGAGAGGTAAGTTAATATAAAGTGTTTCATATCTATATAATGATCAGGACTATTCTTTCACCTGTGCATACAGAGAGATGTTTCTGTGCTCCCAGGGATAGAGTGAGAGTGACTTTAGGCAGTAGTCTTTTACCTCTTGAATTGCTGTTATGACTGTGCTGAAAACTTCTCTCATTTGGTTGAAAAATTTTATGGGATTGCTGGAGAGGACCTATTTACTAATTGTGGAACACTTCTGATGATAATCCAAAGATGCCTTCTTATTCATAAAATTGTTAGATCTGTTTTATTAAGCTATTACAGTCATATTGTTTTATTACTATATACAGTATCTTTGTATGTCTTGAACCAGGTTTCTACTTTGGATGGAGTTCTAGAAGTTCGAAATGAACACTTCTGGACATTGGGGTTTGGTTCCCTGGTATGTATTTATCCACTTAAATGACTTTTTTCCTCTAAAAAGCAAGTATGGATAACATAATGAAGAAATAAATTCTAATAGTTTCTCATCTAGGGATTGCAGGATGTACTAAATTATTTCAAAGGTATGTTTCTTTCTTATTGTGCATTTGTCCCAGTCTATCAATTTTATTTGTTACAGACTGATGAGTTTTTCTTAATTTGCCTTCTAGGCTGGATCAGTTCATGTGAGAATTCGAAGAGATGCCAATGAACAGATGGTACTTGCACATGTGACAAATCGGTTAAATGCGTTAGTATCTATTTTGACTGTTCAGGTTTTCAAAGATGACTGGATCAGGCCTGCATTGGCCACTGGACCTATTGGAAACAATATGCTGAACCTTTCAGATCATTACATTATTCCAATGCCGCCTCTAAAGGCAGCAGAAAATTCCAACCCTGCTACATCCACTCCAACTAAACCAAGCACCCCACCTCCAGAATTTGCTTTTAACACGCCAGGTAAAAATATGAACCCGATCATTCTCATGAATACTCAGACAAGGCCCTATGGACTTAACTTCAACCATGGAACTGTACCTTACAGCAGTGTCTTCACTCAGGGCTTTGGATTGCCAGGAACGGGGGTAACCCAGGGATTCAGGACTGGCTTCATCAATGTTCCCCAGAGATATGGAACTGGCACTCGAGGTCAATCCAGACCCTAATAAACTATTTCTATATTTATTGTTTGAAATTACTTCTTCAATTATTTTATTGCTCAGTTTTCTACAAGACTATTTGATTTCCTGGTAACTAGTATCAGATATTTTTAAAAATCATGAAACTGTGCATTCATGGATTGAATTTAATTTTTGATGCAGTTATCCATTTCTGGCTATAAAGCCATAGCTTTATAAAAAATTATTGCAATCACATTTTACTGCTGGTCTTGTAAATAATTTCAGCACAGTACATGAAAGGAACTCCAGAAAATAACAATTTTGCAAAGTGGGATTCTATATTATTTTTTCTTAAATTATTAGGAGAGTGTTGTCTATTAACAACGGTCTTTTCTTAAAACTTTGTCTCTGATGTAATAATGCAATCATTTTTAAAAGTTATTTTTTCTGAACTATGGAAAAGTGATTATTTGGTAAGTCCAGCAAACACTCCTGAAATTCAGTTTGATATTAAAATGCTTATGGGTAATCGTGTTTGAGGAGTTAGAGGAGAACTAAATGAAATACAGCTGTGTGGGAGGACAACCAAGGTCATCCAGTGATCTGTAACTGATTGTTAGAAATATCACGTCCAAAACATCTCATGTACAGTTACTTTTCGGGAAGAAAGGTGGCATCGAAGATTTTAAACAGGAACATGGGGATGGTTAGATTTTAGAGGGAAGCTCCCCACCTCAAAGAGCATAGGCCTGAGGGGAAGAGCTGAAGTGGTCCTGACTACCTGAAGAGCTGAAAATTCCAGAGAAAGGCCTACAACTGTGGTGCCTGGGATCAGAGAGAAGGATGCCTATGGTGGTGCCCAATTACAGAAAAGAGATGGAACTGAGAGCAGAGATGGAGCTTCAGAAACAGGGTGAAGCAAGGAAGGTTCTGTCTATCTTTTCCTCCCCCCACTCCCATGCCACCATAAATTGCAGGCTCAGGAGAAATAGTGCAGATGGACTAAAGGAAAAAGGCATTTGGATTTTCTGAAAGCTGGCAGGGAAGGAGATGCTGAAGAATAAAGCCCAGAGCTGCCAAGCAGTAAAAGGGCCCTGATTTCGCCTCATCCTGAAAGAACCTACAACAGGATGGTTTTGTTAATCTAGCATCCTGTTGTGGAAATACAGTAATTTCAGCATTCAACTGCTTTATATTCTTTTCAGCCTGATTGAAAGAAATTAGTGCTGACTGCTCAGTTTTTAGCCCCCTCCCTCCTTTCCCTTGATTATATGACCCAGAGCTTCTGCAGCCTGTGCTGTGCTTCCTGGTGCACACATACAAACTTGTATAGACACAGTATGACCTAGAGCAGAAGCACTTCACTTGGTTACACAAAATATAATACAGGGCCCTTCTACGGCTACTGCTGGGGAAGGGGTTGGAAAGAATTCCAAAAGCCATACTCTGCAAGTTTTCCCTACCTTGTTAACACTCCTTCTGGATGAAGGGCAGCAAGAAATTTCTCACAGGAGCTCTAGCTCATATCTAACAAGCCACAGATCAGCCCATCTGCTTTTCACCAGCACTGTCAGGTTGAATATGTTTTGTTCTGCTAATAAGTATTTGTGAGCATGGATAGTTGTATACCTACTGTACTTGCACTGTGTGTCATAATTGGTTTTCCTTCAGTGACATCTTCAGTTCTAATGAAGAAAATTAAGGATAGCAATGGCCAGTTTGGGGCTAGCAAATGTTTCCATTGTGGAAAATCGGAAAGGGACTCGCTTTTTGAACAGTCAGCATGCTTGGAACCCCATTTCTGCAGCAAACATGAAGAATTCCCCTTCTTCACCCCCCCCCCCCCCCAAAATGAAGGTACCAGTTTACCCTGCAGCATTCAGTGTGGGTATGATTATCTCCACTGGATAAATGTACCATTCCTTTATGACCAGAAGGTCCTTTGAAAATTCTCTGATCTATTTCTATCATGAAATGTTCCAATTATGAATGGGCAGATTGTTCTCTGTTGATCAGAATTGTGGTAGCATCATGGTGGATATATGTACAGTATAAATATTTTCTTGATCCATGCACTCTGCTCTTCCACTGAGATTATAGGCAAGTTACCTGTAGCAAATATAAAGTTGATATGGATCAACATACAGTGGTGCTTAAGTTTCTGAATCCTTTTGAATTTTCAGTGTTTCTGCATGACCTAAAGTGTGATCTGTTCTCCATACAAATCCTAAAACTAGGTAAAGAAAATCCAATTAAATAAATGAATAAAAAACTTTATACTTGTTCATTTATTTATTGAGGAAAATGTTCCAAGCTACAGATTTGTATGTGGCAAAAGTATGTGAACCTCTAGAGTTATCAGTTCATTTGAAGGGAAAATTAGAGTCAGATGTTTCTATCAATGGGATGATAATCAAGATCAAGTGTGAGAGAACCTGCCTCATTTGAAGAACAGAATTCTATCAAAGTCTGATCTTTACAACACAGGTATGTGGAAGTGTGTCATAGCTCAAACAAAAGAGATTTCTGAGGACCTCCAAAAAAATAGTTGTTGATGCTCACCAGGCTGGAAAAGTTTACAAAATTACAGGTGGTCCTCACAATGACCACTCATTCAGTGACCACTTGAACTTGTGACAGTACCAAACAAGTGGTACTTTTGACCAGTCCTTGAAGTTCCAGCCGTCACAGCATCCCCCCAGTCACGTGATTGCAATCTGGACACCTAGCACTTGGCTTGTGATTGTGACATTGCAGTGTCCCACAGTCACATGGTTGCCATTTGCAACCTTCTTTGCTGGCTTCAGACAAGCAAAGTCAATGAGGAAGCTGGCGGGAGTTTGCAAATGGTGACCATGAAATATCCTCGCTTAACGACCTGTGGTGATTTGCTTAACAATGGCAACTGGGAGTGCTGGAATTGCTGTCGCTAAGTGGCACAGTCACATGATGTTGTACTTTATGACTGCATCACTTAGTAATGGCAATTCCAATCCCAGTTACCATCATTAACTCAGGACCATCTGTATTTCCAAAGAATTTGGGCTCCACCAGTCCACTGTTAGGCAGATCATGTACAAATTGAGGCCATTCAACATCATTCTTACCCTCTCCAGGAGTGGTCGACCAATCAAGATCACACCAAGAGCAAGGCACGTAATTCTCTGAGAGGTCTCAAAGAAGCCCAGGGTAACTAAAGACCTCTCTCTCATTGGCCAATGTCAGTTTTCACAAGACCACCATCAGAACACTGAACAAAAATGGTGTGCATGGCAGGGTTGCAAGGAGAAAGTGACTACTCTTCAAAAAAAAATTGCTGCCCATGTACAGTTTATGAAAAACCATGTGGATAAGCCAGAAGGGTATTGGAAGAATGTTCTGTGGGCAGATGAGACCAAAATAGAACTTTTGCATTCTGTTTGGCAAAAGGCAAACACTACATTCCTGCGTATGAATTTTATCCCATCTTTGAAACGTGGTGGTGGTGGTATCATAGTTTAGGCCTGTTTTGTTGCCTCTGGATCAGGACAGCTTGCCATCATTGATGGAACTATGAATTCTGAATTGGACCAGCAAATTTTAAGGGAAAATGTCAGGGTATCTGTCCATGAATTGAAGCTCAAGAGAAAGTGGGTGATGCAGCAAGACAACGATCCAAAACACACAAGTTGTATGACCAAAGAATGGTTAATGCAGAAGAAAGTTAATGTTTTGGAATGGCCAAATCAATGTCCTGATCTTAAT